CTCAAAGATATTGAGTGACAACTTTTGACGACTTCACTCACAATCTTTCCGTTGGATTCCAGGTTCTTATAGAGGCCTTTCTTTAAGATGGCCGATAACTTTTGTATCTGTGGTTTTTCTTCCATGTTAGAGTCAATAAATATAGGTGGAGATCCATTTTCTAGTTGGATGTTACGTAGATGGATAGTGATAAGAAAAAAGCAGTCATCGTATAGTGTATTTTAGATTACTCTAGGATGAAGGTCTCAGAACGAAGTCGACCTGCTGACAGGGTGAGGGTGTTACAGCAGTAAGGCGTTTCCTAGGGATGACCCACAGTGCGATGTTGATGCCGCCTTATCTATTCACATAGTAGGGAAATACAGAAGCCCAATATCAACAAGAGTACACACGCTGAGGTTTTTCCTCAAGGGTGCTACACCTGTATAACTGCATTCCAAAATATTACAAAAAATACTCAGAAACGGCCGTGTGTGACCTACCTCAAGTACTAATCTGTCGGGATCTGAAATATGAAAACACTATCCAGAATTTCATTTTCAGATACCTCAAGAAGAAGAAGAAGAAGAAGAGGGAGGAGGAGAAGAAGAAGAAGAAGAAGAGGGAGGAGGAGAAGAAAAGAAGAAGAAGAAGGAGAAGAAGAAAGCCTTCACGATACCAGCAACTTGGAAGTGTCGACCACATTCACAATTCTACCAGCACCAAAATTCCTTCACTTCATTATTAACCTTCAATATCTTCATCTTGTTTTCATCCCTCAATTCCACCCTCCAACATTCCTATGGCATCGTTAATCTCATCCAGTTCTGCAGATGTCAATCAAGATTCAACTTCACAGAACAGCATCTTTAGTCACCCAAAACCCCAACTTCAAGGCTGCATTTCCTGGGTAGGTGTAGGTGAAAAAGTCAACTTCCTTTACATTTCTCCCGTTAATGGTGATTGGTTGGGTATCTTCATCACCCCCGTCTTCTCTACATTCACTTGAAATCCCGTCTTTGCTACCCTGCCTCTTCTGTCAACTTGTTGGTTTTTGCCTGTAGATCTTCGAGTTTGTGCGACAAACAAGACATACATAAATCATCATCATCATCGGCGAAATCCAAATCTCGCCTGGGTCTTTTCATCGGTCCAGTGGTCAAACAGCGTGTATGCCCATCGCCGCTGCTCTTACTACAATTTAGAGCAAAAGCAACTTGAGCGTAAGTTGACCAAAAGTCTTCTTGTCGACCGCGAGCAGTGATGGGTGACGAAAGCGAGGGAGATGGAGAAGGCATCAACGTTGGGTAAAACTCAACAACTATTTAGAATTATTCAGGATACCGGCATGCAAAAACGGTGGGACGCCGAAAACCCCCTATGATAGGCGGCTAGAACGTTGGACAGAACTCTTTGAAGCACAGCTCAACTGGCCCTCAGCAACGCTTCAATTGCCCAACATCTAGGTCGAAGGTGAATGGGGCGTAGATATTGGTTCTCCAACCCTCCTTGAAGTTGAGAAGGCTGTATGGAACCTGAAACGATGCAAATCGGTGGGACGTGACAGTTTGCGACGTGAAGTTTTCGAGGATGGAGGTATGAAATTGGTAATTGGAATGACGGAGGTACTAGGTCGTGTATGGGAATGAGAGGTAGTGGCATCAGTCAGACTTGTGTACTTCGCTGATCACTCCAGTTTATAAAAGTGGAGAGAAATCCTGTTGTGCCAACCGAAGGGGAATTGGTTTGACTAATATTGTGTCGAATATCCAAGGATCCACAGTTATCCGACGCCTAAGTGGGGCTCGAGAAATGCAAACCTAGGTAACCGGGAATGTTTCAGACCTGGACGAGGATGCATGGATCATATTTTCATCTTTCGACAGGTTCTGCAACGTGGGCATACTTATCATCGAGTGACCGACACTCGCCATATTTGTTGACCTGAAGGCAGTGGCATTTGACTCTGTTGGGTGTGAGGTGTTGTTGCAGTGTTTGATTGTGTAGACAGTACCGATCAAGTGTATAACGCTAGTCGAAGGTCTGTACTCGAATTGAGGCAGATGTGTAAAGGTTGGTGAAGAGTTGTCATGTGAATTGACGACAACTGGTGGCGTTCGGCAGGATTGTCTATTGTCACCGTTCCTATTTAACTTCGTTATAGGTGGCGTATTAATGGGCATAATGTTAGGTTCGTCTGACTTCACAGGGATTGACCTAGTCCCTGAAGATGATCTGGTTGACTTGGAGTATGCAGATGATATTGTGTTGTTAGTTGAAGACGCTGTAGAAATGCAGGGTCTCGTGAACGCGTTGATCAGAAATCTGAGTATGTTTGGGATGCGTTTCATTGTCACCTTTGAAATGTAAGACGATGCTCGAGGACTAGTCTGCTGCAAGTAGTCTGAGTTTAATGATAGGGAGTGAAGTTGTGTAAAGTGTCGACCATTTCACTTACTTATGGAGTTGTATCAGCTCGCAGAACGGGCTGGTTGCTGACGAAATCTCAGCTGGGATACAACAGGCCCGTTTGACATTTGCCTACTTGCGTCATTTGTGGTGCGGGCTAGTGAGGCATCCGACTACATGACAGAGGACGAGTATGCTGCACTGCACTGCACTGCACTGCAGTCCATTCTATCCTGTTGTACAGCTGTGACATGTCCGTTAAAAGTAGAAGACAAGAAGCGATTACAGAGTTTGGATCATAGGTGTCGTTGTAACATTGCTCGCGTTGGGTGGGTATAATCACCGTGTGAGCAATGCTGAAGTCAGGCAAAGGGTACTGGGCAAGAGAGAAGTGAGTCGATTGATGAGGTCGTGAACCTTAGTCGACTGGAATGTCTTTGGCATCTACTGTTCATGCCGAGCCACCGTCTACCTGGATGTGGCATGCTGGTTTGAAGAGGGTTCAGTGTGTCCAGACGAATACGTGATAGAAGTTGATGAGTTGTGTAAGATAATGTAAACTGAGTGGTTGGAGTATGTGAGACGAAAGGAATCGGTGGTTGAGGCCTCTTGGTTACATGAGTGAAATTGGTGACAAAAAAAATGTGCAGATGTAGATGTATTCACTTATTGATATCTTGTAAAGCCTGAATATTCTCAGTAAGCTTTATCTTCTGTGAAACAACTCTGTCTACTGTTAAGTGGGGCAACTTTGACCGGTGCAGTTGTGTTCAGCGTTCCTATTGAATTTGTCTGTCTTTCTAGGCGTCTAGGGATTGTGGAACTTTGAATTTTACTCTTTTCATCAAGCTGTTATGACAGGAGGATTTTCTGCCTGTTTGGAAGCTCGAAGCAGTCAGAGAGGATCATATCTGATTCCCATACACTAGCTAACACCGCCTAATCCAACTAGTGATTGTCGATCACCGTTTTATGGAACCTGCGTAAGTGTCCTGCATTACTCTGCTGTCCTTGGCCACAACCTTATCGACTTCGGTAACATTTTGCGACCCTATCACCGCGCTTCATGCGTGATCTAACTGGAAATCGGTTAATAGAATATTACCTTCATGCCGGTTGGACTGTTCTTCAAAGTGTGTGGCACGTCATTCCTGTCTTCTCCCCTGAGAGTGACTCACACACAATCATTCTACTCCACTATTGTCTCTCTCATCATTGACTTCTTTTACCCCAATTTCCTTTATCAGTTTAAATTATTGTCTACTGTTATCTGTTGACTTGACCTTCCCAGATCGCTACCCTTTGCTAGTCACGAATGATTGCATTCATTACATGAACTTCTTGTCAGTTTAAAGTCAAGTTGCTCACTCTCCTCATTGTGCTCAAAGCCTGCAGCAATGCGGTCAAGCGAATTCATTGGTTTTGAAGGAAAGACACTCAACGACCTTTTTCTAGTCTCTTTCCAAGAGTCACTTACGGTCTTTAACACTGTTCTTACAGCAGGTTCTAGATAGCGCCAGGCTTCTTCCAGATGATCGACAATATCCCATTCGGATAATTGTCTAGTCAACTGCTCATTACAAGTAGTCTGAGTATTCTCATCGTCGACTTGCTTTGGCTAATCGACAGTCGGATTCCAAATCCGTACAGCAAGACGCGTCGAAATCCTCCATTGATGCTCTCCAACGACACCTAGTAACAACATGACCTGTTTATGTCAATCGTTGGCTTGTCAGAAACAAGTACAAGGTAGGACAATGTGTTTGAAAGTAGTGCCGAGACGCTTACTACACTCGGTTCGTTGGCGTGAAATTCCCAAAGTACTGTCAAGCTGTCACTTTCATTCTCTCACTTTGTATCTATATGCAAATATTTTGCCTTATACAGTGGAAATGACGCCTTTTGATAGAGCTCATCTGTAATATCTTCTGAAATGCAACTATCGAATGCGCAGGCATAGAAGACAAATAAACATTATGTTTCACAACTTTCCCAAGTTATTGCCGATACATTTAACTGGGATTATGTCAGGTGGTGAGTGTTGTGCTCTATAAGTTGATGTTGTCCTGCTACTAGTGATGTCATGGAAAACAGCTGTGGAATCTACAGACATCAGCAGTATGAATTGTGCCGATTCACCACATTGGCTGTATCACCTGAAGTTTTGAATCATAGATTATTAACTGATGCGCCGGTCACAACCCTTAGATTCACATTCCCGTTCAAGGTACAGACAAATGGTCAGACTACGTAAACTGGTCACATATTACAGTCTCGTCATTGTTGGCCTCTTCCCAAACGAATGCTACTCAAATCTAGACTTTCACATATCCCCTATCTTAAATGAACTATTTTGCACAGCAATATAAGACAGCAGAGTGAACTGTCATCTGTCTTGTGGAATTCGACTTCTTGAGGATGTTGCAGTAGAGAGTATAAGTTTGCAGTGACTACGAAGCACGAACACAACTGCTTGAGGCCAGTCACAAACATCTCTTTGAAGTCTTGGGGTTGAGATGCTACGTTCGAACTTGGAGAACAAACGTGACAACAGTCTTAAGTTGTACAACACAGTAGAGTGTACAGCTTTGAAGTCAACGATTCTTAAACCAGCCTACAGCACACCTGAAATGCTTGTTACTCGAGGGAAATATTTGTGTGCTAACAGAGTCCAGTCCGACCTACAACACGAAATAACCGTCGCCAAGAAAAGAAAAATATGTAATTTTTACTACGACGGCATTTAATATAAGCTCTATCAAGGGGTAGCTGTCAATCAAGTTTTCACGAAGTAAGAGAATGGTAAAAAGAAAAAAGTAAATGCTTCGGATAATCTGTATAATAAATGATCACGTATGAACGAAAAACAATAAAAATAATAATTCTTAAACAGATACTATACAGTAAATAACTAGGAAGACATATCCATACTGGAAAGGTTGTGTAATGTAACTGGCTTCAAGTGTGAAACAATATTTAACTGTATGTCTTGAGGTCTACTTGACAGTGAATTTTCGCTGCAAAGATTGATATTAGACAAATCCAGTTTATTCAACATTGTCTTCACAGACTTCCCAACAGCCGGTAAATTCGGCAGACGAAAATGCAATTTATTCCAATACATTTTACGCACAGACCAGGCATGGAGTACTTGAGAACTGTTAAAAAGTTAAAAAAGAATCATTTTGAGATGTCATCACTTCAACAAACAGAACGAGTTAATACTGGTGGTAAAACACTTGTTAAAGAATAAGAAAGCGAAATTTCCCTTCTCTACAACCCAATCAGAAGGAAAACCTACTAAAACAAAGGCTCTAAATAAGATTTCTTAACTGAGACCAACTCACAAGACTAATGGAAAAACTAGATGCAATAAATCCACTTTGGCAGAAATAGGTACCAACTCTTCACTTCAACAAAGATTTTCAGAAACTTCAACATAACAAATATATGAACAAAACCTCACAACCCCCCTGAGAAGCCCTTCTGTTTAAGTTCCAACACTTAACAACAACATACAAGGAAGCAGAGAATAGAAAAAGCATATATTAGACAGATGCGATACCGAATAAACAAACGCTACTGAAAACATTCAAGACTGCTAAGATAAAAAAAACCAACAGTGCATACATAGGCACCAGGTCAACCCATTCACAGTCATACAATCAATAACAGTCTCAAATCACTCATTCCCACCATCTCGACCAAACCAGTCACACAGCCTACACACACCCCTATCCCTATACCATCCAAACAAAACGTCACTGTCTACATCGACAAACCTCATCTCTTCATCTGGATACAAGTAATCCTTTCACAAACTAACCCTATTCCGGATAACACCACATGTCGACGTAGATCATGGCTCGGCTCACACAACACATATCCAACCCACCTCAGGCGATGATACTCCACAATCCCAACAATTAACTTGTCTTTCATTTCAAATACCCTGTCACACAAACACCTATGATTAAAAGCCTATAACCTCTTCATAGCTTCTACTTTGACGCTCATATCTCAGTCCTATAACAGAATAGAGAAAACTGTTAAACAGCATACTCGTCCTTTGATAGGTATTTCAATGTCATGACGTCGAAGCCATAGATGACACCAGCTACCGAATGTCAAACCCACCTTTCCGATCCCAGGTGAAATTCCGTCAGTAATCCATTAGTTAGGCTTGATCCAACTTTCCAATTAAGTGAGGTGATCAACACTTTCCACCTCTTTACTCTCGATTCTTAATCCAGTCGGTGCACACCACCCCCAAAGCATCAGCTTACATTTCACAAATGAAGAACGGAACGGATACGGAACATGTAAAGCTTTCCGCTCACAGCAATCCAAAGATACTGCATTTCGCCAGCATTGATCACAATAATTGTGATCAACACTACATTTGACAAGGTGGTCATCCTCTCCGCCTTCGTTTACATGAACAACGGTCGGCCATTGAACGTCGATATTTCATCACTCATTTCAATGCACGTGGATAATTATGGACATGAATTCAATTTTGACAATGAAGAAATCTTGGACAGACTAAACAAAAATGTATTTGAGAATTCCTAGAAGTTTGGTGTTCAGATCATTCAGCAATCAATCAGGCAATAAGAAAAATGATAAACAACAAAAATGTGAGAGGTCAGAAAGAGGCAGCTAACAAAAAAATCTATGCGGTCAATAACACAACAATCAAAGAAAACAACCAATCACAGACCAGCTCTTCAGCGCAAGCTACTGAATCCCTCACGAAGAGACATTGACAGCTCACTTCATATTGAAGTTAGGAGTGATGACGTTGTCTAGAAAGAAAATGAAAGCTTCACAATTAAACCACCCAGCTCAGAGAACACAACACAACCAAGACCATCCCACCTGAGCTACATATATTCTCCACTTGTCTTGGTTTCCAAGATACTTTTAAAATCTACATCCTACTCTAAACGAGACTGAATGTTCGAGTAACTGAAGCGCGTTCTACACCAGTTGAACTGTTCATCGAGGTGTTTTACTCAACGTCAAGGACACCTATCTTCAGAGTTTACAGCGATGCACCCCTCTCAGTAGCAAGTAAACCAACTGTTGTCGATTTGAAGATAGGCTTTTCTAAAAGTTCAGTCACACTCATCGAATATTAGAGAGCTTCGATGTCTTCTCAGTCACTTTCGTACTCACAATTCACAACTTCTCGTGATCATTAAGAGCTATCCATAATATTTCCAACATAAAACGCATCTCCCAAATAGCAAATCAAGATGAATTATCAGTATCAGCATAACCTATCAGTGAAGACCTATTCTTATCTAAAAATGAACAGTGTAACGAAACTAAGTTGATTTTGTCTGTCTGACCTAGTACCTCCGATGCTTTACTCAGTAATTTCCCACCTCTACCCTTAAAAACATCGCGTGGCAAACCATCAGGTCCTTCTACTGTGCATCGTTTCGAGTTCCACACAACCTTTTTAACTTTGAGACTTCGATAATCGACAGGCAGGTCTCATTCCAGTTTGGGCTGAATGCTTGGTAACACAAGCGTTACTGTGAGCTAATTGAACTGTGCTTCATAGTGTTCCGCCCAACGTTCAGGCCACCTGTCGTGAGAGGTTATCAGGGGGCCTTTCTTTTCGGTGAGTCTCACTGACCATTGTGTTCTTCTTAACAGTACCCTTCAAAAGCCAAAATAATTGCAGAGTATCGTCTAATGTTGATGCTTCCTCTACCCGTCACTGCTCACGATTGTTGTGAAAACTTTTATTCAGTTTACACTTGAGCTATTTTCGCCTCTCATTGAGGCCTGAGCTAGCTGGAATCAGTCTTCTTGCATTAATCAATTCGGATGATGCTGTAGATAGGTATAGGCTTATGCTAGCCTTAGGAAGTAGGTTTCCAACTGCCTTTATCACTGTTTCCACAGCAGACTGAATATTACACTAGGCTTTGTCAGGAAGAGAATTGTTGTCATGTTCAGATAAATGACTAGTTACCTCCGCTTAAAAAAACACCTGACGTTCTCATCTTCCAGTTCAACATTCAAAGGCCTGACTGTTGTTTTTTTCTTGCACGCAGTGAAGCACAAATACACACGTGCCCGTACTACCGCGGCTAGAGTCCACGCAAGTACTCCAGGAAAAGCAACAATTCCCCACTGATCCACTCCAACGATGGCTTATCGCAATATGATTTATGTGCTGTTATTTTCGAAGTTAGTTCTGGCTAAAAATAAATGGTTGTTAGAACAAAATTTCCAAGGAAATGGAAATTCAATATTGAGAGGAAACGTTTTGTAGAAAAATTATTATTATGACGGAAGAGAAAGTGAAATTTATGTCTTATTACGTGCATTGTTATGTCATATACCCAATAAAATCATAAACTCACTTATTTTTGCCAATTATCAATATACTTTTACGCAAAAGACGCCAAGGTTCGCAGAATACAGCCCAAGAAGGATGATCGAGCAATGAAAATGAAAGGTCCAAAGCATCGGTCAATTTTCCTAAATAATTTATGGAAAGTAACGAAGAAATGGATAACTGGCCAATGATGTTATACTAAGAACGCAAAAACAATACTAATATAAATAATTCGACACAAAATCGATAAAATCACCTGGGAGTTGGGTGTGAATTACAATTTGAAATCTACACGAGAGCATATGATCCACGGTTGAAGACTAAAAAGCATTGCTCAGGACAGATTCTGGTGGTGCGGACACATCTACACCTCCTCTTCAAGTTTCCTTGTTTACCTTATCTCCTCTTCGTCTCGGTTTCACGCCTTTCGATGACTTTATATTTCACTTCTTTGGCTGTCGTTCTGAATTCTTGTAACTCGATATGCCAAAATGGAGATACAGCAACTTTGACAGTTAAGCAGTAATCCCAGTCTTACATTGATATTGACTAACTGATATGTACTAGTTATGTAAATGAGCACGCTTTCCCTACAGTTTATAACTGTGATTACGAAATGTACGGTAATATATTTACGAAAATAAAGCAATGACTGTTCGACTTGATATTTCGAAATCGCCAATATGGAGAAACGGTCAACTGGCTTACGTATACGAATTTTAAATAATAAGCCCAACGTTTAAATCTCACTCCATCTAGTACAATTTGGACAACCAGATGTCCTTATGAGCCCTCACTCAATGTGTTGCTTATATCTTAGTCACAAACCAGTACCAGGTTGAGTTACAAAACGTTTTTAACATTAATTGACTGATGTATCTGTACCGCTGTACCAATGTAAGGGTCAAAACTACACACAGATTCTAATCAATGATTGAAGACTTAGCATATAGTGGAAGACTGCCAGGTAACGATGAACTGAAAGCTGATTGGTTATAGTGAACATCATGATATGCCGTTGTGCGTTGCTTAACCTAGAGATGTTATACGCCCTCTTATTTATAATTTCACGCTTGTTACGTAAAAAATATATATGTGATTCAATGTTGTTCCACTAAGAGGAACACAAACGTATGCTTTTCGGGACGACGAAACAGAGGTGAACTGCATAGACCAATTTTGTATATGAGCTGTAATTAAAAAGACTTTCGACTCAGCTCAGAATCATATCTGTTTAAGGCTGAAGAAAGACTCCAATGGTGAGCATCGTCACTGAATCCTTTAAAAGATGTTACCAGCTAAGTGATGAATGGAATGGATGTTTACGGCTAACTGTTGACCACTGAAATAATATTTGGTTGATGGTTTTGCTTGAAGAATGGTAAATTCGATTAAATCACGGAAATACTATGTACCGATAAACACTTGCAAATCTTAGACCTACTGGTTGTTAAATCAGACTGCTGTTACATCGAAACAATCTCATAACCTTTAATTGATAATATCCATTCAAGGATTTGATAAAGAAATGACTGTACAGGTTACTCTAAGAATTTTACCTGCAACAAGTATAATTTCTTGATGAGTCAAACAACTGTTTATAGTACAAGTTTGCATTATTCAATATGTATCATCACACACTACCCATGAACATAAATTAGATCAATATTGAATGCTCATCTACCACAGCAAGTTCCCATTTGATCAACAAGTTATCTTAAATAGGAAAGTCTGTTGAACTAAGGACACCAGTGTAATTTTCATTCCACTTTAAGCGATTTGAACACAGTTCTCAGCAAACAGGGAAAATAGATGCTAAGAGACTCAAGAAGTTACTGTCAAAACTTAGATAACCTTCATATTCTCGAACTAACGTTTATGATACCCAACACTTAGGAAGCCGACTGATATTAATTAGTGTGCAAGCCAATTATTGAAGCTATAATGCCGGTTAGTCAGTATCAACACGGAATATAGCAGTGCTGTGTAATCGTTCAAGTTGCCACACCTCACATCAGTACATCGAAGTAGAAGGTGCCAAGATGAAAGATAGGGGAACAAGAGGAAATGTAATCAAAAGTAGCAGAAAGTTGCAAAAGGAATATGAGAAGAAATAAGAGCAACAATCAAAGTCACTATGACAATCAAGATCAAGGTAATACGTGTAGGCATCTGCACCACAGATCGATTGTAAACCATAATGCCTACAGTCTCCAACCACCGATTTAAGATGTCGAGATGCCAACAGGGGAGTCTATTACCCCATACAAGTTAGACTAATATTTACAGGCTTGATAATCTCACACTTTTTTCGACTATGTATTTCATTTCGTTCACTTTCATCTTGCTACCGCTTATCTTGATGTAATAAAGTGAGACATGGCAACTAGGACGATGACGCAATAAGGCCAGGTCACATCGGTTGCTGGCTGGATGACTTCAGACATCATATTATTCACATTTTTAGGCAACAATCATTTCGCTTCAAATGATTTAAACTTCGGATTGATGAGCTCAGGACCTTTGGTACAATTAAGGGGTTTCCCAAATTATAATGCGACTGTGTACGAAAAAAACGTTAAAAGGCAGTGACTAACAAATTGTTCTCTTTTTTGAGTCTATATCCCAGATGCACACTTCCATTTAAATAAGGTTGTCAATTCATCTAAAAAGGGAATTTTGAATATTCTGTTATGAAGATATGCATTAATGGCTTATACATCTATTTAATGTTTGACTGTTTATCATTACGCTTCTTATCAATATTAGAAATTCTAAGTAATTTTAACGTGTATCTCGCTAAGTTGGTATACTTCAAACCAATTGCACTTAAAGTGTGGTCATATAAGGAGTTCTGAGAATGTTTATATTTTAAATTCCATTCGCCATGGCGTTTCTACACTAACTCACACAACAAACATGTGAAAAGACGCAGAAATATAATGGTGAATAGCAAACAAAGTTTTTCAGCATGTACAAATCTGCCTCAAGCTTAATTATTAAGCTAAGGTTTATGTCCCCAATTCACTCAACTTTACTCGATAAACTGCACCTAACTGTCACCTCCCACTGTTCGCCTTAGAACTTTTTTTTCTTTTAATATACTTCTCAATAAATTTTGATCATGCAAATATTGTTTATTCATATTTCCCCTTGTCACTTTTCAATGTTATATATTGTGAGGTGTAGTTACTGCGTAAATCACGTAGTAATGCAAGGTCCCATCGTGATAATAATTAACTGTGTTGAGAAAGTAAGGTTACCAACCATACACGCACTTTAAACGGTACAAAATATTCATCTGCCATTCAAGAAAGCTTAACGTTTTTTTCACTTCCCTGACCTACATCACTTTTTCCAAATACCAGCGTTACAGTCTTTTTAACTCACGGCAACCATTGTTGCCCACGTAACACCTGTTAACTACCATTTATACTATCCTAAAACCACACTGCCCAAATTCCCGTTGCCGGTTACAACATCCAAAGCCTGTACAAAATACGTTATGTGGGATTGTAAACACATGGCATGTCTTTAAGGGGGGATAAACAAGATCCCGGCTTATATAATCCATCCACTTCAGGCAATCAATGTAGTGAATTGACACAATTCATACCACCCTTTTACTTCGTGAAAACTTGATTGACAGCTACCCCTTGATAGAGCTTATATCAAATGCCGTCGTAGTAAAATTACATATTTTCTTTTCTTGGCGACGGTTATTTCGTGTTGTAGGTCGGACTGGACTCTGTTAGCACACAAATATTTCCCTCGAGTAACAAGCATTTCAGGTGTGCTGTAGGCTGGTTTAAGAATCGTTGACTTCAAAGCTGTACACTCTACTGTGTTGTACAACTTAAGACTGTTGTCACGTTTGTTCTCCAAGTTCGAACGTAGCATCTCAACCCCAAGACTTCAAAGAGATGTTTGTGACTGGCCTCAAGCAGTTGTGTTCGTGCTTCGTAGTCACTGCAAACTTATACTCTCTACTGCAACATCCTCAAGAAGTCGAATTCCACAAGACAGATGACAGTTCACTCTGCTGTCTTATATTGCTGTGCAAAATAGTTCATTTAAGATAGGGGATATGTGAAAGTCTAGATTTGAGTAGCATTCGTTTGGGAAGAGGCCAACAATGACGAGACTGTAATATGTGACCAGTTTACGTAGTCTGACCATTTGTCTGTACCTTGAACGGGAATGTGAATCTAAGGGTTGTGACCGGCGCATCAGTTAATAATCTATGATTCAAAACTTCAGGTGATACAGCCAATGTGGTGAATCGGCACAATTCATACTGCTGATGTCTGTAGATTCCACAGCTGTTTTCCATGACATCACTAGTAGCAGGACAACATCAACTTATAGAGCACAACACTCACCACCTGACATAATCCCAGTTAAATGTATCGGCAATAACTTGGGAAAGTTGTGAAACATAATGTTTATTTGTCTTCTATGCCTGCGCATTCGATAGTTGCATTTCAGAAGATATTACAGATGAGCTCCATCAAAAGGCGTCATTTCCAAATTCAATAGGAACGCTGAACACAACTGCACCGGTCAAAGTTGCCCCACTTAACAGTAGACAGAGTTGTTTCACAGAAGATAAAGCTTACTGAGAATATTCAGGCTTTACAAGATATCAATAAGTGAATACATCTACATCTGCACATTTTTTTTGTCACCAATTTCACTCATGTAACCAAGAGGCCTCAACCACCGATTCCTTTCGTCTCACATACTCCAACCACTCAGTTTACATTATCTTACACAACTCATCAACTTCTATCACGTATTCGTCTGGACACACTGAACCCTCTTCAAACCAGCATGCCACATCCAGGTAGACGGTGGCTCGGCATGAACAGTAGATGCCAAAGACATTCCAGTCGACTAAGGTTCACGACCTCATCAATCGACTCACTTCTCTCTTGCCCAGTACCCTTTGCCTGACTTCAGCATTGCTCACACGGTGATTATACCCACCCAACGCGAGCAATGTTACAACGACACCTATGATCCAAACTCTGTAATCGCTTCTTGTCTTCTACTTTTAACGGACATGTCACAGCTGTACAACAGGATAGAATGGACTGCAGTGCAGTGCAGTGCAGTGCAGCATACTCGTCCTCTGTCATGTAGTCGGATGCCTCACTAGCCCGCACCACAAATGACGCAAGTAGGCAAATGTCAAACGGGCCTGTTGTATCCCAGCTGAGATTTCGTCAGCAACCAGCCCGTTCTGCGAGCTGATACAACTCCATAAGTAAGTGAAATGGTCGACACTTTACACAACTTCACTCCCTATCATTAAACTCAGACTACTTGCAGCAGACTAGTCCTCGAGCATCGTCTTACATTTCAAAGGTGACAATGAAACGCATCCCAAACATACTCAGATTTCTGATCAACGCGTTCACGAGACCCTGCATTTCTACAGCGTCTTCAACTAACAACACAATATCATCTGCATACTCCAAGTCAACCAGATCATCTTCAGGGACTAGGTCAATCCCTGTGAAGTCAGACGAACCTAACATTATGCCCATTAATACGCCACCTATAACGAAGTTAAATAGGAACGGTGACAATAGACAATCCTGCCGAACGCCACCAGTTGTCGTCAATTCACATGACAACTCTTCACCAACCTTTACACATCTGCCTCAATTCGAGTACAGACCTTCGACTAGCGTTATACACTTGATCGGTACTGTCTACACAATCAAACACTGCAACAACACCTCACACCCAACAGAGTCAAATGCCACTGCCTTCAGGTCAACAAATATGGCGAGTGTCGGTCACTCGATGATAAGTATGCCCACGTTGCAGAACCTGTCGAAAGATGAAAATATGATCCATGCATCCTCGTCCAGGTCTGAAACATTCCCGGTTACCTAGGTTTGCATTTCTCGAGCCCCACTTAGGCGTCGGATAACTGTGGATCCTTGGATATTCGACACAATATTAGTCAAACCAATTCCCCTTCGGTTGGCACAACAGGATTTCTCTCCACTTTTATAAACTGGAGTGATCAGCGAAGTACACAAGTCTGACTGATGCCACTACCTCTCATTCCCATACACGACCTAGTACCTCCGTCATTCCAATTACCAATTTCATACCTCCATCCTCGAAAACTTCACGTCGCAAACTGTCACGTCCCACCGATTTGCATCGTTTCAGGTTCCATACAGCCTTCTCAACTTCAAGGAGGGTTGGAGAACCAATATCTACGCCCCATTCACCTTCGACCTAGATGTTGGGCAATTGAAGCGTTGCTGAGGGCCAGTTGAGCTGTGCTTCAAAGAGTTCTGTCCAACGTTCTAGCCGCCTATCATAGGGGGTTTTCGGCGTCCCACCGTTTTTGCATGCCGGTATCCTGAATAATCCTAAATAGTTGTTGAGTTTTACCCAACGTTGATGCCTTCTCCATCTCCCTCGCTTTCGTCACCCATCACTGCTTGCGTTTGACGCGAAGACTCTTGGTGGATTTATGTTTATGTTACTTTTGCTTAATTGATGTCTCGTATGATGGCGAACCTGAGATAACCAGGTAGGTTAAGATATAGTCGTGGGTGCTTCAGCCAGATATCTACCCTTCTTTCTGTTTTGGAAAACAAGCACGTTTACGTACGCCTGACACTGGCTTTCATTCCCGATCTGAAGGGGCACTCAACTCTGTCGATCAAGACGTCTTATGGCAATGTCTCTCACTGAAAGGGATGTCTAGTAAGTACATCACTCTTTGGAAGGCTCTGTACTCGAATACCCCTGGGCGTATCAGAGCCTATGGTGAGTGATGTACTTCAAATTATGTCCGTTAAATATGCTTACTTTCTTTTCTTATTCAACTTTAACATAGATGAAGAGGTCTCATTTCTCGTTGTTTGACTTTACAGGGATGGAGCTTGTCACAGAAAAATCCTAAACTGATAGAGTACACAGATGACATATTCCAGTTAGGTGAAGATGATGACAAGATGCACGATCTGCTAGATACATTGAGCGGCAGTTTGAGAATGCTTTTAATGCAGCCGAAATGTAAACTGTTGCTCCAGGACCGGTCTTCATTGGCGCCTTTTCTAATAATAGTGAACAAAGTGACTGAACGCATCAACATAGATACAAACGGCTCGCTTGGCTTGCGCAAATTTACACTAGTTATGGTGTGCCCCTGATATCCAATTGCCTTTTATGGTTCTAGTGTACTGCGCTGCAGTCCCCTCTGTTCGATTATATGGTTGTGAAACATGGCGATTAAAGTTGGAGGGTAGCAAGAGGCTTCAAGTGTTCCAGCACCATTGTCTTTGCAGCATAGGCTGTGTGTGGTGGCATAACGTAGAAGTCAGGTGTAGATTTTCAGGCAGAAGCGGTAAGTTAAATGATATGGTTGTGAATCTCCATCGACTCAGTCGTCTATGACATGTGCCATGCATCCCTTATCACCACCTACGTCGTCGAACAAAGTTGACTTAAGTAGGTTCAGACTGGAAAAATATAAGCAGCGACCACGCTGAAACATAACACCAATCCATAAAGTCTCTGCTGTTAGTCTGAGCCATGTGGCAAAATGTAAACTTCCTAGTGAGGTGCACTTGACAAAGGACATTGGTTGTTGTATATTTTAGGTGGTATAGTTCGGAATCAACCTCAGTGGCACAGTGTACCCACATATTACCTTTATCGTAACCATTCCACAGCTAATGATTGAAATCTCAAAATACGCACCAGACGATTGTTCAAAAGAAGGGATAATCAAATACCAAAACTCGTCGTCATACCGTACACAATATTTGCTATGTGCTTGTGTGAAATGTATCAAATGGAACTTGAGAAAACAGGTTTTGTATACCCTTCCCATATTATTTACGCTGACACCTCTTAATGAAGCAATACGGTAAGCGTAGGGAATATCAGGCACACTGGTAATGAACATATTAATTTTTTTGGGTTGAGTATACAACTCGAAAAGCATTAATTGATTCGCTAAAGTTCCTCGTCATTCCCACAGGGTTATGACTGATTCAAGTTCATTGTTTTCGGGAAAATGACGGAAATATGTGTTGCACAAAAAGCTCACTGTTTGCATCAACATACAATCCTGTCTGATATAGGACTAGGTGTGCGGAGAAAGTCAAGGCTAGCTAGATCAAGAAATGGTACCATGTTGTACAGTCTATAACTGTTGGATTGAAGGTCATATGAATGTAAAACCTTTGGCTGATGTTCACGAGACAATCAAAGAACATCGTCGAGAATGAGTCAACCAATCATAGACCGAAAGTAAACGAGATGGTGTAGATAAATTCAGGCCTAACCATTTTGAAATCGTGATATCATACATTTCTCATCTTTCGTCTCACCTGTGCCTGAAACCTGGCAGTCAGTGGTTTGAATTTTCACGCAACCTAGGTTTTCATTTTGCTTTAATCATCACTCAGTGTTATATATATATATATATATATATATATATATATATATATATATATATATATATACGCTCCAAAAGTTATCGGAAAGAGAAACAAGAAAGTAAAATGTTTAACTGACTAACCTCTTTTTAAACAAGTAACTATAGTTTGCACATGAGCATGGTTTGTTCGCAATAAATCTCTCACTTCCTTTTTTGTCATATTATCATAATTATCAGGTAAACAAGGGGCTGGCTCAGGCAGAACACGCCTACAAAACGATATACGATACTTTAAATACGTTTTCAAACTCTTCAAACTTTTAGATGACTTCATTCGATGAGTGGAATCAGGATTTACTATTCGATCTGAATCAACAATTTCACCACTTAAATCATCTGTAAGATAAGCAGATGAATCATTATGCGTATTATTCCCTATCGAATGAGATGGTGATAGAATGACTGATGAATGAGAAACTGGTCCGGGTTGACGTTTATGCCATTCACATAAATACCTCAAAGTGTTTGGATTCTCTGGTACTTTCTGAGCATAAGCCAATAATAAGGCATGTGCACGTGTACATTCATTGAAATATTGTAGTATCTGTCAATAAAAGATATAAACAAAAGAAGGTTAAAAACGATTATACTAACTTACTTTATATTGGACACATTACTTACAAATAAAATTTGTGATTAAAGAAATTTTGTACATTTGTACATGATCAAAGACTTATAAATTTGATGCAGAAGATGGACGCAATCAGTGACTAGTTTTGAAGACTTCATAGATCATTAACGTAATTTCTTTCATTGTTAATCTGTTTACAGTCTCTGCATAACCACCAACCAACCACGGTTCGAATGATGCAAAGGATGAATTCCACTTAAAGCTGATGATTTTGTTACAGAAAGCAAAACGCTCAAATACAGTCATAATAACAGACGACTACAACGCTCAAGTAGGAGAGCTGCGCAAATCGGAAAGTCACACTGGGAGTATCTATGAAATCCTACACCAACGAACCACCTTTTATAATTTTGTGAAGAAATCACTAGTTCTTGACCAGCACTAACTTCAAGCATGAGAAAAGACAGTCTCATTTGAAGTCGACCGACATGAAACTAATGATGGATGAAAGTAGACCATAGCGCTATAAGCCATCATCGAAAAGAATCAGTGGAGAATTGTCGCTCTTTCTGGAAGCCTGTCTCAACCTCGATTACACGTTAGTGCAGACACGCGTACGCCTGAATCTTATTACTTCGCAGTAAACAGGCAACAGCGAAGTCTGCGTGCTCGATCTAAAGACGGAATTTTACTCTGCTGATCATGGTGTTGTGGCAGTGTCTGAAAGTAAAGTAGGTATTAAGTGAGTGATCTACTCGAACTCGCGCAGTTGAGGAAGGGTTTACAGAGAGGTTCCACCTGAAGGGATATCAGTCACTGGCGTCGTCTAGGGGTAAAGTCGTCGGATTCTGTTCAGCTTTGTCATATACGGGATAATGAATATAACCCTAAGTACCTCCGAATTTACCGGTATTCACTTATTCCCTGAAGGCAACCTGCCTTACTTCAACACAGATAACATTGTCTTGTTAAACAAAGACATTAACAGAATATATGGCCTTCTGGATGCCTTTAGTAAAAATCTAAGTAGGTTTGGCTCCTGTCAAATCAATAATGATGTATCAGCAGTGGTCTGCAGCTACTCTCATCTCTGGCGCAGACAAGTTATCCGACTACTCATCAAAGGAAGAGAATATGGTTATTCAGATCGCTATGCTCTCTTGTACAACTGTGAAGCATGACTGCCGAAATAAGAAAATATGAGGAAACTACTAGTTTCTGACTACAGATGTTTTCGCTGTACTTCTTGCAAATGGCGGGATCACCGTGTGAGTAATGTTCAGGTTACATAGGGCGTACTAAGCGAAACAGGCAAGTCGGTTGGTGAAGTTGTATACATTCACCGACTAATAGAGCCTGGACACAAGTTGCGTATGTTGAGTCAGCACTTACCTCGTCGTACAACTTCAATCAAAATAGAACTGGGTTGGAAGGAAACTCAGGCTTGGTTGAACAAGACGTGACTGCAGACCATGAGGTCTTCGACTGTTGATCTGAGTTGAATTTTTTTAGTAACCTTCATTTCTTAATTCCTTCGTCTTTCATACACCTTTGCCTACTTTGAAATTATTCTTTTTCTACCCACTTGTTGTTTTTATGCTACTGGGATGTGTGGCAACTTGAATGAAATGATTTCAGCACAAGGTTCTACCTTGATTTTGTCTGTTACCTGGTTAACCAAAAAATTATATGATTTCAGTCTCTATATGGAAGCTTTAAGAACAGTTATATGAGATCAGAGATTTTGTATTTCGATTAGTTCAAATGAAGTATGCTTCGAGTTGACCTTAAGCTATTTCGAAATAATTTGTAGATTATGACTTCACTAATTAACGGTATTTTGGTGGCTGAAGGGAGAATATATTCTTTGCGTTCTATGCAAAATTTTATCTTGAACTTGACCGATAGCGTCTGTTTCTGCTTATTTCCATTTTAGCTGTCAAAATAAGTCAAACAATATAGTTTTCTAAGTTACATTATTAGAGTTTGAACTTGTGTCAGAAAAATCCCCAAATAAGCCAACAAGTGGTACTATAGTACACAAAGGAAATATGAGGTAAAACGAGATCTACAGTTTTTACCATGCTTACAGTTTCGAATGAATCTACTGCATGATTCATAAGAAGTGGTCCAAGAATATCACTGTCTAAGAAATTCGTTGCTGCTCCCATACTGATACACTACTCAACTTAATAAACACTTTTCTAACTTTAATTATTTTTATTGACTACTACAAAAATGAGAGCAGTTTAATAGCACAAAAAGCAGATAGAGGGGATGAAGTTATTACTAATGATTTTGTCTGGAAAGATAATGGAAGCTTTACGATCAAACCCTTGAGCTCAGGGACTGCAACAAGACCAAGAGAAGTGAGACAGTTAAGTGTGACAGACTAGTGTTGTCTTTCGAAATAAAAGTCAAAGGTTCTGCATGCTAAAGTAAACATCTCAACCAGTTAGTTTTTGTGCATACGTTAAAAAGCTCTCACTGAAGATCCACCTTCTTTCTCCCAACATTAGCTGGGAATGTTGGCTACGGCTGAGATAAGTTGCGTATTCGATAGTTTCTTATCCTAGTATGAACTTCCTCAAGTATGTAGATATTCCTTAATGATGAGTGCCAATGAGTGTGAAATCTGAAACCAGGGCTCTTGTGAACTGACTTGTAACACAACAAAAATAAGTGTCAACACCCATCTAATTAAAATGAATACTAAATAGTAAAAAATGATACTCTAAACAGATTAGTTGCTTACTGACGTTAATGCTCAGTTACTTTTTTTTAAAAAGTGTATCGATGCATTTGAAACCACCACCTTTGACACTGAAAATCAAAAAATCCAACTTCTATATTAAACTTTTTTATTTGAATAACATTCTACCACAGTGTTAAAGTTAACTCATATTAAAGAGGTCCATTGAGACCTACTCTTTCAGAAGTAAAACTCATCGGCTGATCAATATTGACTTATGAATCCTAATATTGCTTCACTGAGTGATTAAGCATCACCTTTCAAGACAGATGCAATAAATCCACTTTGGCAGAAATAGGTACCAACTCTTCACTTCAACAAAGATTTCAGAAACTTCAACATAACAAATATATGAACAAAACCTCACAACCCCCCTGAGAAGCCCTTCTGTTTAAGTTCCAACACTTAACAACAACATACAAGGAAGCAGAGAATAGAAAAAGCATATATTAGACAGATGCGATACCGAATAAACAAACGCTACTGAAAACATTCAAGACTGCTAAGATAAAAAAAAACCAACAGTGCATACATAGGCACCAGGTCAACCCATTCACAGTCATACAATCAATAACAGTCTCAAATCACTCATTCCCACCATCTCGACCAAACCAGTCACACAGACTACACACACCCCTATCCCTATACCATCCAAACAAAACGTCACAGTCTACATCGACAAACCTCATCTCTTCATCTGGATACAAGTAATCCTTTCACAAACTAACCCTATTCCGGATAACACCACATGTCGACGTAGATCATGGCTCGGCTCACACAACACATATCCAACCCACCTCAGGCGACGGTACTCCACAATCCCAACAATTAACTTGTCTTTCATTTCAAATACCCTGTCACACAAACACCTATGATTAAAAGCCTATAACCTCTTCATAGCTTCTACTTTGACGCTCATATCTCAGTCCTATAACAGAATAGAGAAAACTGCTAAACAGCATACTCGTCCTTTGATAGGTATTTCAATGTCATGATGTCGAAGCCATAGATGACACCAGCTACCGAATGTCAAACCCACCTTTCCGATCCCAGGTGAAATTCCGTCAGTAATCCATTAGTTAGGCCTGATCCAACTTTCCAATTGGATGAAGTGGTCACACTTTCCATGGAAGATATAAAGCTTTCCACTCACTCCAATCAAAGGACTCTGAATTTCATCAGGGTCTTCGCTTAACAGGACTGTCATATGCGCACTCAAAGTGAATCAGATGTCTTCACGATAGTACGTCAAAAACTGACAAGTCAACAGTAAGTACAGTGGTGCGCTTCAGCATATCTGAAACGGAAAAGTTACGGATAATGACAGTAGACACTTCTAGTGGACAACAATACTTGTCACTACTTCAGACGAAGACTCTCTCCAAGCCCTCACAACATAAGTTACAGTATAGGACATTCATTAGCTGAACGTACTAGGTTCATCGACAGTCCATACACTGAAATCCTCGATCAAATGGCACATTCATGTTTGGAAATCGACTAGGTTTTGCGTGCCGGTAATTATGGCCCTAACCAAAAAACAAATGGAGCAGTGAAAATCTGATTAATGCATCCTCATCCATTCCTGAAACCTACCGGTTCCCTTCAGTTTCGTAGTCTTGAGTTCTGGTTAGGCGTTGGATGACTTAAGACCTCAGTATCTTACCACGTTGGTCAAAGTGATTCAATCACACTTTTCATAAGAAGACTTATCTTCTCCCCTGTGAACTGAAACACCTACCCTTTTAGGTAAATTTGCCGGCGCTATCTCAGATTTTCGTATGCTAGCTAGAAAATCGACTACTCTTGTCGGAACTTTCTCAATAACTAGAAATATCTAGTCATCTTACTTTACATAGCTACCGATTCAAAACACTTGGCTTGCTTTCCAAGATACTTTTAAAACTTTAAAAAATCTACATCCTACTCTAAACGAGACTGAATGTTCGGGTAACTGAAGCGCGTTCTACACCAGTTGAACTGTTCATCGAGGTGTTTTACTCAACGTCGAGGACACCTGCCTTCAGAGCTTACAGAGATGCACACCTCTCAGTAGTAAGCAACCAACCGTTGCCGATTTGAAGATAGGCTTTTCTAAAAGTTCAGTCACACTCACCGAATATTATGAAGCTTCGATTCTTCGACGCCCGAGTGGAGCTTAGGAACAACAAGTCCGAGAAACCCAAGCAGGCTTTAGACCTGGCCGCGGATATATCGACCAAGTATTCACACTGTACCAGGTTCTGGAACACAGGCACGCTTACCGACGCCCGACAATAGCTGTATTTCTCGACCTGAAGGCGGCGGTACTCAACTCCGTCAATCGAGAAGTCTTATGACAATGTCTCTCACTGAAACGTGTGACGAGTAAGTACATCACCTTATTGAAGGCTCTCTACTCGAACACTTGTGGGCGTGTTTCAGCCTATGGTGAGATGTCCAGGGAGCTGTACTCATCGAGTGGTGTCCGTCAAGGGTGCCCATTGTCTCCATTCTTATTCAGTTTCATCATAGATATTCTTATGGAGGTTTCCCTCTCGTCGCCTGATTACACAGACGTTGACCTAATCACAGAATTTTCGTTAGACCTAGAATATGAAGGTGACAAAGTCCTGTTAGGTGAAGACGCTGACAAAATACAGAGTCTTCTGAACACTTTGAGTGGGAATTTGAGAATGTTTGGGATGCGATTTTCACCACCCAAATGCAGATTTTTGCTCCAAGATTGGTCTTCAGCGGTACCGCGGCTAACAATAGAAAGTGTAGTGGATGTGTGTTGACCACTTCACCTACCTGGGAAGTAGGATCAACCCCGGTGGGTTAGTTGCCGATGAGATCTCTGCACGAATACAAAAGGCTTGACTGGCTTTTGCCAATTTGCGCCACCTATGGCGCCACCGTGATATCCGTTTGTCTATTAAGGGTCATGTGTACTGCACAGCAGTCCGCTCTGTTCTACTGTATGGCTGTGAAACATGGCCATTGAAAGTGGAAGATGTAAAAAGGCTTCAGGTGTTTGACCACCGTTGCCTTCGTAGTATAGGACGTATTCCGTGGTTTCACTACGTGAGTAATGCAGAAGTAAGATATAGAGTTCTAGGCAGGAGAGGTAAATCAGTTGACGAGGTTATGAGCCTTCATCGACTGAGACGGTTGGGACACGTACTACGTATGCCTAGTCACCGATTGCCTTGTCACACAATGTTGGCTGAGGTGGGTCCAGGCTGGAAAAACGCCCGAGGTGGCCAGACTAAAACATGCCACCAATGTATGAAGTCTCTGACTGTTGGTTTGAGCCATGTGGGGCGATGCAGACTAGGTGGTTGGGGTCCGCAGGACAAGAGGAAGCAGTGGTCGGAGACTCTAGGTGATATGGCTGAGAAACGGATGTTAGTGGCGCAGATGTATACACACATTATCCTCATCTTAACTACACTATACCGAATCTCACCACTTCCTCATTTTTGTTTCTCTCTTTTCGTACTTTATATTTCCTCTGATTGCATTTTCTTATCTTCATCTTGCGCCTCATTGCCTTCTTACTTGATGTACTGATATGAGCTGTGACAACTCGGACCGTTAAGCAGTAATGCCTGGTCCAAGGTTGATCTGGATGGATGGAACTTCGATGTCTTCTCAACCACTTTCGCACTCACAACTCACCGCTTCTCGTGATTATTAAGAACTATCCATAATATTTCCAACATAAAACACGTCTCCCAGACGGAAAGCGAAGAAAAATTACCAATGTCAGCATATCAGATCAGTGTACATTTATTATTATCCAAAAGCGAGCAGTATAAGTATTTTTATATAAAAGTGTGATGGTTAAGTGAGTGACACACTGGCGATAAAATACGACCAGCTGTACTTAATTACGTAATGAAACTCTGACGGTAATCATTATAACAAAAGTTAGTAAAATATCACGTCACGGAGCTATGGTTGAGTAACAACGATAGTATAGCTACAAGGAAACGCTTTTGGACTAAAAAATAGATTTTACGCGAGCCAAGTAGAAGCAAGTATGCTTTGAGTTTCATATTCACATAGTGTCGCTCAAGCAAAAACAAGATTTAAATGACAACAAACGAACACGCATGGGCGTGTTAGAACCCATGATGAGCTGTGTACGTCAGATGATGTCAGTCAAGGACCCCCACTCTTTCCATTCCTATTCAATTTTATCACAGATGTAATTACAGAGTTCTTTCTCTGGTGATTTAACTCTACAATGATCGATCTTATCGTAAGAGAATCTTTGGTAGATCTACAGAACGCAGATAAAATAATTCTATTAGGTGAAGACGATGACAGAATACAGTCTTCTGGACACCTCGAGTGGCAATTCGACAATATTTGGCGTGTGTTCCTTACCACCCAAATACAAATTGTTACTTCAGGATTGGTCTTAAGCGGTGAAAGTGTCTAACGACAGAGAGTGAAGTGGTTGGATGCGTTGAACACTTAATTTAGCTGAGAAATAGGATCAACCCTAGTGGGTCAGTGACCGACAAAATATCTGCACGGATATAAAAAGATTGATGAGCTTTTACCACCTTACGCCATCTGTGGCGCCGCTGTAATATCCGTTTGTCGATTAAGGATCGAGTGTACTGCACTGCAGTTGCTTCTGATCTATTATATGGTTATGAAATATGGCTATTAAAATTGGAGAGCATGAGGAGGCTTCAGGTGTTCGACCACCGTTGACTTCGTACCATAGGCCATGTGTCGTGCTGTTAGTATTGCAGAAGTCAGATGTACAGCTTTAGGCAGAAGAAAAGATCAGTTGATACGGTTGTGAACTTCTATCGACCCAATTGGTTGGGACATGTGTTACGCATGCTTAGTCACCGCCTGCCTAGTCGTCCACTATCAACTGAAGTAGGTTTATGCTGGAAAAAGGTTAGGGACGGCCAAACTAAAACATGGCATCAATACATGAAGTCTCTAACTGCGGGTAAATCCATGCTTATGGGTTGCCATCTACACGACGACAGAGACCAGCAGTTGAAAACTGTAGATGATGTGGCTCAGAATCGATGTCAGTGGCGCAGATGTATACACACACTATCTTCATCTTAATCGTCATACTGAATCCAATAGTTTCTTATTCCTCCTTCCTTGCTTTTACTGCTTTTGACCGATTCTCATTTGTATCTTTATCTTTCATCTCATTGATTTTTTGCCTGATGTGCTAACATGAAGTATTGCAACCTGAACTGCTACGCAGTAATGCCTGATCCCATGTTGATATTGAATGAGATGATGATCAAAACACAAGGAAAATTAATTAGTTAAAAGTGTAAACAAAGTCCATGAGACTTCAACTGCATGAAAGAAGAACTAGTAGCCTGAAATACTTATATGTTCACTGTTATCACTTTTAAAAAGACTAGCTCACTTACTAACCTAAAATTTTAAGCGTACAGCTTTAACTACTTATAAGGCGTGTTAAATAATGGTGCTAACTACCCACGACACAAATCACTCTAAAATCTTAAAATAGCAATATGTTACAAGGATAAAAGAAAACTTAAAATTACTTCAACGAATGATCGGACAAATGCATCGCACAAATGACCTTCAGATACAAGAGCTTCAACTTCCTGAAGTCGATGATACGCTTTCTCAGCTAAATCATCAGCTATCACATGATTTTCTTCGGGATCATCTATAAGTAAAGTAAAATAAAAGTTAGGTATATATCAAAACAAAAGGCATTGTAAGCTATACAACTACAACAGCAGCTTTCATCATCTAGTATGCTGAAAAAGAAATGAAACGTACACGCATTCGTCATCCAATGTTAACTGGTACAACTGATGACAATGTACGCAATCATGGTGGTGTTAAACTACTATCGACTCACTAATTGTACCAAGTAAAGAAATCAGAAAACAGAACACACATGAGAGTAGTTTCTTGAATAAACATGTAGAAAAGACATATTGCCAAACCTCGTGAATAACTGTTCATTTGTTATATCGGCATACCTGCCAATTGTACTTCTACTAAATAAACAGCTGCATAGAAAATAACATGATAACTGAGGCTCTTACTTACTTGTAGACAACAAAGAAAATTGCAGAGATGTTTGAGGACTATTGACTCATGTTAACCCCTTCACATCTGTCCATCATAATAACAAATAGATAACAACCTTAATCGCACAACACCCCAATCCATTCATCATCATCAGTACCTGCAACTTCACAACTCAAAACTTAAGTCAGAAACTTTACCAATGAGCAATTCAAGCTGAGAAAAACTTTCTCTAGGATTCCATCACATACAGAAATTACAGTCTGCTAGGATTGACACATTCACAAGATTATTGAAATAGATTCCGATTCACTTATGAGATTCGCAAAACCAAATGAATACAATTGGTCTGATAGTATGCCAGCAGACAATAAGTAGTCATTCGGTGTTGACTAATTTCATCATCGATAATGTACTTCACACAGCAGAGAATGATTTTCAGAGAAGGCAAAAGAATTAGGAAATGGTTACTAAAAAAATTCAACTCAGATCAACAGTCGAAGACCTCATGGTCTGCAGTCATGTCTTATTCAACCAAGCCTGAGTTTCCTTCCAACCCAATTCTATTTCGATTGAAGTTGTACGACGAGGTAAGTGCTGACTCAACATACGCAACTTATGTCCAGGCTCTATTAGTCGGTGAATGTATACAACTTCACCAACCGACTTGCCTGTTTCGCTTAGTACGCCTTATGTAACCTGAACATTACTCACACAGTGATTTCACTGTACGTGAGCACTGTTGCGAAGACGTCTGTGCTCAGAAGCCTGTAATCGCTAGACATTATTTACCTTGAACTGTCATGTTTCACGACCTTAGCCACAAACATGAAGGCAAAGAAATAGTAGCTGTTAAGTAAAAAAACAATGCACATACACAACATTGAGATAATGACTCAAGTTTGCGAATCACAAATAAGTGAGACCAGAGAACGTCATAGTAGAGCTGTAACAGATGTACAATGACGAACTCAATTCTTTATTCTAGAAACACTGTCCTAACTGCATTGCTGTAAAGGAACTTTAAGTGTATTACTTAGGATCCTACTACGTTGCTGCGCTTCAGCTGTCTGATTGTTTAATGATCCACCTTTGGAAGTATCTTCCGGACTAACTGCAAATTCACGGTTTATATCTCAATAACCGTTGAGGTCCCCTAAAACCTTAGCTTACGCTAAACCTCAGTCGATGCCACTACGATATCTTGGTCATATGTATCTCGTGTACAATTACAACCCCATTATTCACCAGAAGAACTTATATTTATAGGAGTAACCGAAGAGACGTAGTCGATACTCACACTTTAGTTAAATATCACTTTCACAAACAATTATATTTTCTCGTCGACCGGTCGACATACCGGTATAACTAAGCTAGTGGATATGTGGTTCATTGGCCTAAGAGCTAGACTTCCAATATCTAGGTCCCGGACTCGAACCTCACTTCACATGCTTCAGCCTTGATAACTTCGTAGCACCATAAGCCATTTACACAACAAATGTAATTCATAGCCCGGTGCATAAATATGTACCGGTTGAATTACATTATTTTTTTTAATTATAGGTGGACTACAATTTAATTATTAAACGTCCAAATTTATCCAAAATGACAACTGTGAAACACATATATTCAAGTTATTACAATACACAATGTGCTATTGCAAGAACTTTAATTACTCAATCTTCACTTTGAACAAGATAATGAATATGATAAAATTTAAAACGTTTACCGCATGAAACCATTGAATGAATCTGCTTTAACCACATCCCGAAAAAACTATAACCTTCATACAGTCTTTGTAGACGTTCAACATGAGCAAATTCTGGCTCTCTCGTCAAAACTGTACGAATACTCCCATACTTATTTCGCTGAACAACCTCGAAAAGACAAATTACAAAAAAATATTTAGGAGAAACCAAACAAAGTAAAACCTCACACAACAGTATACTTGTTTAAATTCCCGCATAAAAAAAATTAACAAAAAATGACCAAACGTTTCAGAAGACCAACATTAGTGGACAAAAAATAGACATAGTAAAATAATTTGCCCAGTACTATGAGAAAAAAGAAACGTGTAGGCATATTCAAGTCACTTTTTCCTTTCAGGCATCAACCTTTACAATCTCCTTATTTCTAGGCAAGAAGCCTACATTTGTCAACATGATTCATAATCACAGTCACAAACAGTAGAAACACATGCCTGATGAGTTCACATTTTTTTCTAAAAACTTTTCATCGACTGTTTCACTTGACAGTATACTTCCGATGAAGCATTTCAAAGTTTTTTTAAAGAAAAGGATAAAATTTTGTGCACACGTTAATCATATAATATTTACACTATCTACATATTAACCGCACCAGAGATGACACAACACTGACGAAATCAACGTAGAACTTCGCACACAACTAAATCGTTTTAACTTGCCACACTTCACAGTAGTATACAAAGAACAGGTGGATAGAAAAAGTGATATCAAAGCAGATAAAGTAGAGTGAGAGAACAAACAATATGAAGATAAAGCTTACTGAGAATATTCAGGCTTTACAAGATATCAATAAGTGAATACATCTACATCTGCACATTTTTTTTGTCACCAATTTCACTCATGTAACCAAGAGACCTCAACCACCGATTCCTTTCGTCTCACATACTCCAACCACTCAGTCTACATTATCTTACACAACTCATCAACTTCTATCACGTATTCGTCTGGACACACTGAACCCTCTTCAAACCAGCATGCCACATCCAGGTAGACGGTGGCTCGGCATGAACAGTAGATGCCAAAGACATTCCAGTCGACTAAGGTTCACGACCTCATCAATCGACTCACTTCTCTCTTGCCCAGTACCCTTTGCCTGACTTCAGCATTGCTCACACGGTGATTATACCCACCTAACGCGAGCAATGTTACAACGACACCTATGATCCAAACTCTGTAATCGCTTTTGACGCCCATGTCTCACTGGCGACAACAGTTCTGATGAGAGTTCATCGAGTCTGCTTCAACTTCAGTGAATACAAACCTTATTGAAACGTCACCTTTCACTTTGCATCATACCTAACATCAAAAAAGACCTCTTCTGAGCTGTCAGCAACATTGAAACAAACAACAGATAGTCAGTTGCATGTACATTTAATATACCTGTTTATTGGCACGACAAAACTGGACCTTTTCAAGGTTTCCTTTGCTGATCTCATGCAATATATATTCCAGCATGCGGTTATTTTCATCACTTAGTAGAAATATATCCAAAACCCTGATAAAGTAAAACAAACAAATATTGAATGAGAGTAAAAAATTTATGAGTCTGGAGGTTAATCAAGACACTGAAATATAAAATATAAGATTCATACTCGAAATCATATTCAACATTCTTAAAGTAGTAATTTATTAATAATACATATAAAGTTAGTGAAAATAATTGTAATTAACGCAGTTCAACGTGTTACATCTTTATTTAATACGCTATGAGAGAGCTTGATACTGACCGGTTGCCGAAGTTGAAGTACATAGAGGACGATTTTAACGCTTCTGTTATTAAAATAAATCGGCTTTTTTAAGCCAATGAGACACATCTCCATATTTATTGCACAACAAGTTCGGAGAATTAATGGAATATTACGTTTGAGACTTTTTAGTGATATCAAAACGATCAAACAAAATTTCCGAATTTTTGTCAATTCAGACATCGACTCCACGTGGATAATAAGAACTAGAGTTTCTGTGAGTTAGTATATACTGACGCTTCACAAGCCATCGTCATCACTCCTAATAATTTGGCTCGAGTACAGTAAAGAAAACTAGTAGTTCACTCCCTAAACAGGAAAGGAGAAAGCACAGGAGTAAGTTCATTACGACCCATCGTTGATGTATATATCATTCTTACACTGCTACAAAAAATAAACTACTACTAGCTAGTCACTTTAATTACTATAAAACGTGTGAAACAGTTGAAACACCATTTACATAGTTTGTTGACAGATATAAGTTTTCACCATCAAATATTACACTTTTCCACCCAAGATATAGTTGGTTGGTTCAGGTAATTAGCACTAAATTATCAATTCAGAACCCCTTCCATTTACTAAAGTTTATGCAGCTGGACAGCATATTTAGCCCACATGAAAGGTGGAATTTACAAACAATGTAAGCTTACACTCAGTTATGAATTCTCATTGGATTGGTTCATTGGCTTAGTCGTTCAACTTTTAACAAGTGGGCAACGGGTTATAATCTTACGCACCCTACCAGGTGGTAAATATCATTAGCCGTCACATAATAAAGTGGTTCATTGTCTACTGCAAGACCTTTCAGATGGTTGCTGAGTAACTTATTGATTTGCTCACTTTTGAAGTATATAATTCCTGAACCCAATAAAGCACATCAGTATTTAGCCCAGTTAGCATTTTGACATATGTTTACAAAATGAATATATTAGTTAACGAAGTTTTTGGATGTTGGATGAAGTTAAAAGGTTAAGAACAGTCAGGCAAAGATGTGATGCCTGTTCATGGAATCTTTGACTGATGATTTGAGTGGTATGGAGAGCTGTCAACTGTCCCGTTAGGGTACTCAGGATTTTAGAGACTCGTGGTTGAAGGCTCTTGTTGACGATACAGCTCCAAATGGGTCAATAGAGCTAATATGCACCCAGTCCCTACGACCTTCGAAATTTTGGACCTCCTATTCACTTCTATTTATTCAATTCTTCTTGTTGCATTTACTTCTACCTACTTAGATGTTAGTCTTCTCCTGCGTGTTTCTTCCATGAATTGTGCTGTGATTCGTCTGTCTATCTTCGGGATTGTTGTTGTTTTCTCAATGAACTTTGAGTTATCAGGAAGTGAATTCAAAAAGGCATAGTTCTCAGAGGTTTACACGATTTTCGAAATTACCACATCAACCCTGGCAATGTTTTGCGCGACCAATCTCTAATCATCATACATAGAGTATGGTTCAATATCTCAAAACTAAAACAAGCACTTTAGCAGGATTCTTTGACTATATTATAATCGTACTGTTAAGTACCGCATAGACCTACTAGATGAAAACTTTGACAACTAATAGAATCTGAAAATTGAAGAATGTAAACAGAGCATTTCTCACTTCCTAAATGCGAATTTCTGATTCACAACGGGTTTGCATAGACATTTTATTAGACTTCGGAGAATGAAGTGGTTTGCCAAGCCTCGACTACCTGAGAAGTGACATTAACTTCAGAGAGTTAGTGGTCGACGGATTTTCAACATGACATATCCGAATGTTTATGGAGGGTTAAATGTGTTGAGTGGCAGTTCGCCGTGTCTTGTTTTATGGTTGTGAAACATGACCATTATAAGTGAAAGACATGAAGTTCAAGGTGTTCGACCACTGTCATTTCTGCAAAACAGTTCACTTAAGGTGAAAACACTCAGTTATTAGTGTAGCGGTTAGACGTAGCCCTAGTTAAGTGTCAAGAGGACTGATGAGGTTGTAAACATACACCGACTGAAGCGCATGCCATGCGTGCCGTTTACCAAATGTCCTATGCTGAGTTAACTAGAGTTATGTTAGGGAAATGCTAAGGCTGACAAGCTTAAAAAATGGAATCAACCTATAGTCCCTGACTGCTAGAGTGGTACACAATCTGTTGTGTTTTTGTCACCTCTTCTTCTTATCTAAAAACTTTCTACAGGTCCTAAACGTGTTATTATCATTTCTTCCCCCTCCTCGTTACCTTTCACTGTGACGTGCTGAGGTGTAACAAATTGGGTCTTTGAGCCGTAACACCAGTCTTAATTTTTACCCGTCTGAACCATACTTAATGTGTGCAAAACGATGACGTAAAAAGCCAAGAGTCAACGAAGATAACTTTTTACAGGTCATAAGTCCTAAATCCCGGTTGAGCTGTGACTCAGTAACTAAGGCAGTTGACTTTCAACCAGTGGGTCACAGGTTCGGATTCCTCTCCCTCCAGCCCTCAACTTATTAAGTTTGCATTGACAGTTAGTAATACAGTCTTCACACAATGTTCTGCTCACTACCTAACAGACAAATTTTACGTGGTTGCTGAGCTGACTATTTAGTGTGAATCTGCTACATACACAAGGAACACCGAAGCTTAGTCGAGTAAACGTAGAAAAAGTTTTCAAAGCGAAACGTGCTTGATATACTGACTCTCTATTTAACTTACTCATTAAACGACTTCAGACCAACATCATCATTCAGACACTGAAATATATGGAATGCTACCTAAACAAGTCTGTTATCGAATTTTTTTATAAAACAACTGACTCTCCAGATCCATGACGGTGACATAGGATACACATGAATTGAATGGGCAAGCAACTTTGCTGCTTCCTTGAACTTGTGCCTCGATAAAAAGTGCCACATAGCACAAATAACACGAGCTTTCTCCGAATTTAGCAGCCTGAAATCTTCTAAAAATAAGAAACAAACAAGGAACAGATTGACGGTAACACAAAAGTTCGCATCACTCCGAAAAAATGCACCAAGAACCAAGACACATTTACACTCTGACTAGCTTATGGTGAATAAAAGGGTAGACAATAACCTTAATGCCTCTCATTATGGGCAGATATATTCTATAGACTTTCTGAAGACCTTATAGCAGTGTCTGGTCTTAAAATAATAGCGACAACTATCATTGCCTACGTGCAAAAATGCAGTGAGAAGAAACTAAATGTAACTCAGCGATTATTTATAGGTTTTTGTATTATACAATTACCTGCAGTTGTTATATGAAGGTTTATGACACTATCTGACTGCTTAGACCTTGAGAGGTGGAGCAGAATTCGAACTCGTAGTCTACTAATTGAAAGTCAATCGCGTAGACCGATGAGCGAGAGCTCCACTTTTGGTTTATTGCTGTAATGCATATTTTACTCGTTTATCGAAGTTGCTCAAAAACCAAGTTACTCGGGTTAGAATCGATATAAAAATTGGGATTTAGTACATGTTGGCCCAGTACCATTTTAGGACAGCTGGAACTAAATTTTGAGAAAATCATTAGACTGTTTACCTTTATGCATGACTACATATGTGGCCATAAAAACAGCCAATTATGATCTATGTATCAGTGTGTATACTTATTCAAACTAAATTTAACAGCTGTTGTTGGAAGCTGAACTTCCAACATTCAGTTATCCAAAATACAAACAGAAAACAGTACGAAATTTCAGTCCAGTATCCATATGGTAAGTCTCTCTACAAACAGATAGACAGACAAATGACACCCCCCCCTTCCAAAAAAATGTAACAAATGTAATTCTTAACTGGATAGTGGCGAGTATGCCCGTGACCTGTTGCTACATCACCCTTCCTGTAAGAACTAGTCACAAAGTTAAACGAATGAAGTAAAACAAAAAGTAGAAAACTACAGAGCAAATCCATAGAACTTTCTCAAGTAAAAAAATGCGATCCACGACGTACATACTCGCACTTCAGACCATGACATGAAATAATATAAAACACCTAGACAGAGAAGCAAAAATAGTCATTTGTAGTGGGATTACTCCAAATATACGTTACGGATACCACTCCATATCCCAGACATGCAACAAGACTCAATATGAAAAATAAGCTGAAAGCATAAGTAAACCACATTGAAAAAATAACACTGAATATTTTGAAATGCATTAGTCAACATCTATGAAGAAGAATACTAGTCATCGCAAACACTCAAGGTAATTATACAGATAAGTGAAGACATGGCAAGCAGACAACCACTGACGTATCTTCATTACCTAGTGCATTAGTTAGTCCTCACGTCAAACGCTCAGCTATGGGGCTCCAGTGTCAGTGACCGATTAAAACCACAGCCTAAAGACATCAAACCATGAGAAAAGATTGTTGAAGATCCTTAGAAGTACCCTTGATTCGAATTATTCACTTGACATCTGTCCATCATAATAACAAATAGATAACAATCTTAATCGCACAACACCCCAATCCATTCATCATCATCAGTAAGATGTACCTGCAACCTTGACAACTTCTCAATGAGCTGAAAAAAGCTTTCTCTAGGATTCCATCACATACAGAAACAACTGTCTGCTAGGGTTAAGGTTTGAAGAACAGTCCAACCGGCATGAAGGTAATATTCTATTAACCGATTTCCAGTTAGATCACGCATGAAGCGCGGTGATAGGGTCGCAAAATGTTACCGAAGTCGGTAAGGTTGTGGCCAAGGACAGCAGAGTAATGCAGGACACTTACGCAGGTTCCATAAAACGGTGATCGACAATCACTAGTTGGATTAGGCGGTGTTAGCTAGTGTATGGGAATCAGATATGATCCTCTCTGACTGCTTCGAGCTTCCAAACAGGCAGAAAATCCTCCTGTCATAACAGCTTGATGAAAAGAGTAAAATTCAAAGTTCCACAATCCCTAGACGCCTAGAAAGACAGACAAATTCAATAGGAACGCTGAACACAACTGCACCGGTCAAAGTTGCCCCACTTAACAGTAGACAGAGTTGTTTCACAGAAGATAAAGCTTACTGAGAATATTCAGGCTTTACAAGATATCAATAAGTGAATACATCTACATCTGCACATTTTTTTTGTCACCAATTTCACTCATGTAACCAAGAGACCTCAACCACCGATTCCTTTCGTCTCACATACTCCAACCACTCAGTTACATTATCTTACACAACTCATCAACTTCTATCACGTATTCGTCTGGACACACTGAACCCTCTTCAAACCAGCATGCCACATCCAGGTAGACGGTGGCTCGGCATGAACAGTAGATGCCAAAGACATTCCAGTCGACTAAGGTTCACGACCTCATCAATCGACTCACTTCTCTCTTGCCCAGTACCCTTTGCCTGACTTCAGCATTGCTCACACGGTGATTATACCCACCCAACGCGAGCAATGTTACAACGACACCTATGATCCAAACTCTGTAATCGCTTCTTGTCTTCTACTTTTAACGGACATGTCACAGCTGTACAACAGGATAGAATGGACTGCAGTGCAGTGCAGTGCAGTGCAGCATACTCGTCCTCTGTCATGTAGTCGGATGCCTCACTAGCCCGCACCACAAATGACGCAAGTAGGCAAATGTCAAACGGGCCTGTTGTATCCCAGCTGAGATTTCGTCAGCAACCAGCCCGTTCTGCGAGCTGATACAACTCCATAAGTAAGTGAAATGGTCGACACTTTACACAACTTCACTCCCTATCATTAAACTCAGACTACTTGCAGCAGACTAGTCCTCGAGCATCGTCTTACATTTCAAAGGTGACAATGAAACGCATCCCAAACATACTCAGATTTCTGATCAACGCGTTCACGAGACCCTGCATTTCTACAGCGTCTTCAACTAACAACACAATATCATCTGCATACTCCAAGTCAACCAGATCATCTTCAGGGACTAGGTCAATCCCTGTGAAGTCAGACGAACCTAACATTATGCCCATTAATACGCCACCTATAACGAAGTTAAATAGGAACGGTGACAATAGACAATCCTGCCGAACGCCACCAGTTGTCGTCAATTCACATGACAACTCTTCACCAACCTTTACACATCTGCCTCAATTCGAGTACAGACCTTCGACTAGCGTTATACACTTGATCGGTACTGTCTACACAATCAAACACTGCAACAACACCTCACACCCAACAGAGTCAAATGCCACTGCCTTCAGGTCAACAAATATGGCGAGTGTCGGTCACTCGATGATAAGTATGCCCACGTTGCAGAACCTGTCGAAAGATGAAAATATGATCCATGCATCCTCGTCCAGGTCTGAAACATTCCCGGTTACCTAGGTTTGCATTTCTCGAGCCCCACTTAGGCGTCGGATAACTGTGGATCCTTGGATATTCGACACAATATTAGTCAAACCAATTCCCCTTCGGTTGGCACAACAGGATTTCTCTCCACTTTTATAAACTGGAGTGATCAGCGAAGTACACAAGTCTGACTGATGCCACTACCTCTCATTCCCATACACGACCTAGTACCTCCGTCATTCCAATTACCAATTTCATACCTCCATCCTCGAAAACTTCACGTCGCAAACTGTCACGTCCCACCGATTTGCATCGTTTCAGGTTCCATACAGCCTTCTCAACTTCAAGGAGGGTTGGAGAACCAATATCTACGCCCCATTCACCTTCGACCTAGATGTTGGGCAATTGAAGCGTTGCTGAGGGCCAGTTGAGCTGTGCTTCAAAGAGTTCTGTCCAACGTTCTAGCCGCCTATCATAGGGGGTTTTCGGCGTCCCACCGTTTTTGCATGCCGGTATCCTGAATAATTCTAAATAGTTGTTGAGTTTTACCCAACGTTGATGCCTTCTCCATCTCCCTCGCTTTCGTCACCCATCACTGCTCGCGGTCGACAAGAAGACTTTTGTTCAACTTACGCTCAAGTTGCTTTTGCTCTAAATTGTAGTAAGAGGCAGCTGGAATGAGTGTTCTCCTATCAATCAGTTCGGATGATGATGCGGAAATCCGGTGACGTTTACTAACCTTCGGGTGTAGGTTACCAATTGTCTTCACTACTGTTTCTACAGGAGACATAATGCCACGCCAGATTTCCTCAGGATGAGGATTTCTGTCTTTAGATAAATGCTTAGCTATCTCTTTCCTAGATGCGGACTTGATATCTTCACCCTCCAATGGACCGGATACAGGCATAACTATTGCCCGTTTTTTGCAACCAGTAAGAGAAAGAAATACACGAGCCCATACTTGTGCGAGATCGGAGTCCAAACTGGTGCTCCAAAAAGAGCGGTAACACTCCACCGGTTCTCTCCAACGATGGCTTATAGCAATGTGATCTATCGGTGCCCATGGTTGGTTTGAAGTTGGTGGATTCTATATGAGACAGTGCCTTTCCTATGCCTCAAGTTAGTTCTGGCCAGAAATAAGTGATTGTGGAAACAAAATTGAAACAGACGATCACCATTGTCGGTTCGGTGGCATGGCATTCATCCCATTCGGTATGAAGTTCGGTAGTTGAGAGCCCCTACATGAAGTCGATGATAGGGTCTTAGGAGACTAGGAATAAGAATTCGATAGCTTTGATTGTTAGCAATGGTTATAGAATGAGCTCGGATAATTGGTAAGAGGCTTAATATTCGTATCAGAAGATGAAGGCAAAGGAGGAGACAGAGTTGAGGGGGATAAGTTGTATTTGATTGGGTCTTGTATACCATTGGAAGCGTGCGGGTAGTTGACACTTCCCGGTTCCTCATACCATTGAAGGCTAGTTCTTCTCGAGGTACTTGAAAGAGAAAAAGGTTTTTTTGGCCCCAAGGCCAATGGGACATCTATTTGAGGCCTGCCACACACGGTCTTTTGTGGGATGTTTTGAGGTCCGGTTGTTTTAACACTAGATAGACAGAAATTCATACCACCGATCCCCGAAGATTGTGGGGCAAGGTTGAGTTTTACTTTTGAGGCTGACCTTTCTTAACCCCTAATCCCGTTGGAAAGGCAGCATCAACGTGTTACTCCTGATCATCCAAAGGAAAAAAACATTTTACTGCTGCCACACTCCATCCAGTTAGCAATAGTACGACTTCACCCTCAGATCGCTATCATAGTGTAGTAATTTGCCCTACAACGGTAACTGCTTTTTTTATTACCACTATCCAACAGTCTTCTGGCATGGTAAGGCCTCGAGGAAACAAGCGTTCCGCCAGCATAACCCGTCGGGTTATTATGACATGCAAGCCCGACCACCACGTCAAGGTAGTAGCTTTCGGTTGGGAGTGAAACAGTATATGAAGTTATCACCAAATGATGGTGCTAGAGTAATATACTTCTAAGTTATTAGCTGACCACATGGAACAGACATGACAGTTTATTCACCGTTATAACACTTACCGGGTGTGTTCAGGATGCAATAAGATTCTTTTCCAAACCAGCCGCTGTAGAAGCCATCCCCGCTGAGGTTTAAAATAAACTGGCAGAATCTACGAAGTCTCAAGAAATATAGTCTATTTCTTCCATAGAAATGGCCATGCCTAGGCATCTTACGTTGAAATTAATGATAAATGATGGAAATAAGGTAGTTGGAAGTCTTTGGTCACCAGATTTTTCTTTATAACAAGCAGGACCTAAATACCAGAATGAAATTGAATACAGTTAAATGGGAATGATAGGGTAACACTGGCTGAAACACGGTTAAGTTTCTCCTGGCACTTCTCTCTACAAATCCCCATAAAAAGCAACCCAACATTCAAGTTTCACTTTCTCTTTTGAACGTAGCTTTTCTGTTTGACTGTGATCTGGAAAAGAAATTTGTTTGGGTGACCTTTAGGATGTGACTTCGTGAAACAATGCTACGTATTCAAAAAAAGTAGTTAGTACCTAGTCTCCATATATGTTCCTAAAGCATCAGTTATCACTTTATCATATATATATTTCGACCAATAATTTTCCCAGATACCCAACTGACAACCCCTAAATCAATGTTCGGCACATGAAGATCTGACGCTCTTGAGTATGAATAAAAAGTAGGATCTGGCATGACTGCTCATTGGTCCAAATAAGACAATATGTTTTAATGCAAACTACCTTGTGTGCACAATTGAAGTAGGAGAAACAGATGCTTGATTATGGAAAACCCAAATGTATCACATTTTATCGACAGAACCCAACCCTATTTAAACAACTATATCTATAATAAGTCGATTTCGTTGGCCCTCTAGGGTGTCTTTACGCATCAAGTTTTGGTTTGTAACATAGAGCGCTATTGTTGGGCTTGGTTTTGACTGAACAATACAAATTTATTGATCCTCAGCCCCTCTCTACATTGATGCAGTCATAAAAGCGTACTAACTTTACAGTTCAGAATGCACGACTTGGATCAGAGCTATGTTCCCTTTCAGTGAATATACATAGTGACAAGTCAAAGTAGGTGGAATGGGGTTCAAAACTGATACCCATGACTTGAAAGTTGAATATATGAGCCAACAAGTCCCATTTTCACCATTTAGATCAGGCATAAATATCATCAATGAGCTTTGTACATGACTAACTATGTATCTGATCCACGTAAATGAAAAGAAGCTATAAACAAGTATACTTTTAAAAGCAGTTATTAGCAAATAGAATTACATTACTATCCTGTCAGCTTAACTGATATTTGAAAAGAATATTTAGTGGCTTGGAAACAACTTTAGCTAGGAACTCTTCTTTTAGAAACCTTATTGAGTGGAAAGAATGCGCATTCGCTTTAAAAATGGAGCACTTTGGCTGTCTCAATTGAGAATAATGAAGAAATATCTACAGCAGGTGAATAGAACATACCAAGGTAACTCAAACATCCAGTGCAGTTTTTACTCAACAAAGTGAGCTGCACTTTCTGTGTATGATGACATAATAATATATCTTTGCTTCGGTCGAAGTAGATGAGATGAGATTTGAACAAGAAACCTATCGATCAGAAACCAAGTAATTAATGCAGCAAACCGTCGTTTCACGTAACAAAGCTTCAATTGACTGGTTGGATAGAAATTGACTTCGGTAAAAGAAATGTAGTGCACACTTGTTACCTGTCCTTAAACTAAGAAATCTCAGAGATGATTGCAAACTATGATGTTGAAAGGTTTGTACATAGGTACGTAGTTGCCAAAGGCAGTTTCTCTGTGCTGTTATTCTTGTAAAACCCTCAAAACCTTTGACTAGGATGTCTACAAATTTTTAAGTTATATGCCTTCGATCTTAGAATATTGAATCCAGGTAGGTAAACTGTCTTAAAAGAGCTGATGTACTTCAGTATATTTTTAGTAGGCACAAAGTGAAAGGAATTCTTAATATCTTCCTACAGAGGGTATAAAAGAAATCGGATAGTACTCGTTTTTACTAATAACATAAAAACTGGTACAAGTTTACGCACTGGACCATGGACTTTACTTGTTATGTAAGGGATTATGATAATATCCGGTTGCGCAGACCCATTGCTTATAAATCGAGCCTCCAGGCCAATCAGTCACACCTTTTACTGGTCTTACCAACATACTTTTCAGTGCATTGTAGGAGAAATCAGTTACTGGGTTATGTGGAAACACATGGCTTTTGACAAAGAAGTAGCATGGCTTCTGGGTCAACTGTTGCTAGTTGATGAATCTTCTCCTAACAAGGGATGAATTGGTGGAGGCTAGGGATAACGAACTGTCTGTGGTATTTGTTGATTTAACAACGTTTGATAAAAAGTTTTATGTTGCCCCAACACAGACCTACTTCACTTGATATCAATTACAATACGCAGGCATGGATTGAGGACTACTTCCAAGCGAAGGGGTACAGAGTAAGGGTTAATAGGATGTTGGAGACCGGCAATAAGTGTATCCTTCGAATACAATTATGTGATTTTTCTAATATTTTCTCAACATTAAGTATTATATATATATATATATATATATATATATATATATATATATATCCCTTGGGTTCCTAGTGGAACATAGGGGCTTCAGTAGTACGTCTCCATTACACTCTGTTCTCTGCAATCTTTTGAACCTGGCTACACGACTGTCCACAAGCTCTTATTTTTTCCTCATACAATCTCCTGTATGTCACCCTCGGACGCCCAATTCATCGTTTCCCCTCTCAACATTGACTAGTTAACGAAAATGTTTACGTCACCATCACTGGTATTTCCTAGTGACGTTAAGATTTTCAAGGCCACTCAAATATATGAGAAGTTTTGCGTTTCGAAACTCACCTAAATGAACTAAACGAGTAGTACAAATGATAGATTCTAAAAACTAATCTTATTACACGCTTAGTAACGCGTAATGACCATGAGGAGTTTGTGAATATCTATTGGATGGATAATCTCTGCCTTGCATTATTTAAAATATGGAGGAAACTCATTTTGATGCAACTGCAACCAAAGCATTTCGGATGCTATCATCAGTTGACAGAGCGTTGAAATGGTTCGATGATGGTGTTAAAACCACTGCATTCCACTTATGTACTGCATCTACCTTACGCTTGAAAAATCAACATGGGACCAGGCATTACTGAGTAACGGTCCAAGTTGCAACACTCATATCGGCACATCAAGTAACAAGGCAATGAAATAGAAGATGAATACAGAAAGAAAGATGGGTCAAAAGAAGTACTAAACGAGAGGAAGGATGAATAAGGAAATGAAGAGGGTAAGTGTAGCGGGTAAGATAAGGATAATGTGTGTATACATATGACCCACAGACATTAATTGAGCCATATCACCTAGAGTCTCCAACTACTGGTTTCTCTCGTCCCGCGGACCCCAACCGGCTAGTCTGCTTAGAAAAGCTGATACACCGAAATGTTTAAAAGGTAGATACTACGTTAGTGGCAGAACTCTTTCACTTCCTTAATCAACAACTAAACGGCCCTGATAAGAGGATGAATTCCCTAGATTTTTGCTCTAATATAATATAATGAGGATTGCTAACATATTCGGAATAAAATTTCACAGTTCAGGGAGTGAGTACCTCAAATATCCGACCCCAATCTAGTGTGAGTTCATTTAAAACAGATACAGATTCTAGCGTAGTAATTAACAACTGAAGTTCGTTACCAGAAAAAGTGTTAGCAGCGCGTTTAGGCCCCTTCGTATTCAGTCCGGATTAGATTTCCTGCTGGATTTATAGGCGATTAGTCAGAGTGGTAACTTCGCCTAGTTTGCTACTTCACTAGTTACTAGCCGGTCCTAAGCCCGGATAAAGAGGGAAGGTTGGGCACAGGGCAAGCAACCCTACCCCGTAAAACAAATCGAATCGCTGAACAAACTTCAAATCACAGAAAAAATATATAAAATAAAAATAAACTTATTCCTCGCCGGAATCGGGAAGACGAAATGATCTCGGTTGGTTAAAGCCTTTTTCTCTTCTCTTGATGACAGCGAAAGTAAACATGGGGACATGGAATGTCCGCACAATGCTTGAAGCTGACTGGCAGAGCTGTCCAGACTGCGAAAGAAATGAGAAGGTATGACATAGAAGTGCTAGAAATCTGCGAAGGCAGATGGAATGGAAGTCGACTCTCCAAACTTTTAACTGGAAAGTCAATAATCTACTCCGATATTCTCACCCAGACGACAACCACGAGCACGCTGAGTTTCCGAGTGGCTGTCATGATGTCCCCAACAGCATCGAAGGCTATCTTTCATGCAGTGGGAACCAATCTCCTCCACGATCAGGAACATGACAGTAAGATTCAACTTAAAAGGAGGGAAAGTCACAATCATACAATGCTACGCTACGCACCTATAAATAATGCAGATCAAGACAAGAAGGAAGAGTTCTACAGACAACTGCAATCAGTACTTGACAAGACTCCACCCCAGTTGACGACATCAAAATTCTAATGGGTGGGATGATATGAATGCCGAACTGGGAGCGGACAACACAGGAAGAGAACTCATCATGGGTCGAGAAGCACTCGGTGAACGAGAATGGAGAACTGTTTGCAGACTTCTGCGCATTCAACGATTTGGTGATTGGAGGCAGTGTGTACAAGCACAAGGATATTCACAAAGCGACATGGATTTGATTTCACTAGACACCCAGATAGACACATTAAAAATCACATCGACTTCATTCCAACCTCAAGAAAGTGGAGACGCAGCCTACTGAACACAAGATCACGAATAGGAGCAGATGTAGCTTCACACCACTCACTGTCTAGTGCAAACAACCTACCTTCGAAATCAAGTTGAAAGCGTTCACAGAAGTTGGTGACAGACCACAGTTCAAGTTTAACACCCAGAATAGAAACTTAAGGACGAAGCTTCAAAGAGCATCTTCCCGTCAGCCAGTTATCAGGACAAAATGGCAGAAATTAAGTAACATCCCCGATGAAACCTGCGTGGAAAAACACTGGAACTCTGTGAAAGAGACGTGGAAGGAAACCTGCATAACCGTGTTAGGAAGGAAGAAGAAACAAGACAATACAAGGAATGGATCTCGACGGACACATGGAAGCCGTTAGAGTAGGGAAAGGAAGATAGTGAAGCAGAAGATGAACCAGTGCAGTGCAGGGATGAATGACGAAAAGAGGAACTGAATACAACCTACAAAACACTGGACAAAGAAGTGAAAAAAAGTGCACACAAAGACAAAAGACACTTCTACGACACATAGCAAGCGAAGCAGAACAGGCTGATAGTAGGAGAGACCTGATAACATTGTTTCAGATAACCAGGTTACTATCTGGGAGGAGAAGTGATCAACACAGATGAAACCAATGAAAGATAGTGGAGACTTAGTTTTTACCAAAGAGGAGAAATAAAAGAAACGATGGGCTGACCACTTCGAAAACTCTTGAATAGACCACCACCTACAACTCGTCCAGAAATAACACCAGCAGCCTAGCCACAGAACTATATATATATATATATATATATATATATATATATATATATATATATATATATATATATATATATATATATATATATATATATATATGAACAAACCCCATTGCGGCATTGATAAAGATAACATTACGAGTCGAATCGTTACTTCGCCACACTTATTACATTACTTCTCGCAAGAACCCACCTAGGAGACTCCATTACATTTCTGAATGTTAGCTGAAGTGACTTTCGAACAACTGGCTTTCTCGACTTATATGTGATAGTCACGCTTGAGACACAATCAACATTTTTAAAGCTCCACGGTCCTTTTATTACCAAAGGCTGCTGATCAAAAGTCACGCTTTCAACTAACCAGCTGTATTACTATTTACCCTAAAATAATGTGGCCAATGATGGGAGTTCTAATCTTAGGCCCAGTCATTGGTATCAACTACCAAGCAGATACTGAAGAACCAACAGATTCTTACTGAACCTTTCAAAAACACTTGAGGAACTATTGAGGCTTCAGAAACATAAAAAGCAGTCATTGTTGCCAGTAAGACGCTCATTTCTCGCTACGATGAGATTTAGAGCCTCATGAATACGCTTGACAATTACTTCTTAGAAAACGTTGCACGGAGAAAGTAACTGCCCTGCACATATGACTGATTATATGTAGCCAGTAAAAAGTGAGCTAACACACGATAAGACCATTCTCCAAAGCTATCACACTACAAGCCCTCTACGATAAACTGAGTTCCCTAGCCAACAGTATCGTCAAGCCAAATAGAGCAGCGTTGGGCATAAATTTTATGTGGGCAAGATCTGGTGCAAATGAGGTCAAACGTTGGATCACTGCTTTATTTAGGCTAGATGTAGAGCTAGTGGGGATGGTAGGAAGGCCAAAAATCAATACGTGGGGCCAGACGTTTGGTCATTTGTTAAAATCTAGAGTCAGGAGTAGGGCCAACAAACACCGTGGGGAACATCAAACGCAGGAAAATGCTGTGAACCTATACGCCTGGCCCTACATTTTTTTATAGTGAGTGGCCCGACATCGTCTTATTTGGATCCATGAAAATGCTAACTGGGATAGCTATTGGAGAATACTTTAACCGCTGGATATAAATCAGCTGACATATGGTATATATAGCCAATCTGAAGTGCTCATCAGGTAATATAATAAAATGCTGTAAATAAAGTAAAAATAGTAATACAAAATGATAAGACAGCAGTATTGTTGTGTTCTTTTCCCTATAATCAATAGACATAAAACAAGTATGACGAAACACATAAACCTTAAAGATATATTAAGTAGCGCATGGCGTTCATAAACAACTGAATCGTTCGGAATTCAATCAAACTAATAATCAATTAGTGCAACCTAGTCAATCATGACAGTGCCTCAAGGTCACAGCAGAGTACCAGATAATTCTGGAACTCGCGCTCCTGGGTATGAAAAATCTGAGACTTTGATTGTTTTGTTTACTCAGCAGCATATTTCGCAGGAGCCACTGTGAGACTTGTAACGTTTTTCAGTTATCTTTTATAGTTAAGCGTATGCAATTCATTTGTACTTGCTGACTGGTCGGTTCAAGTTTTTATTTCCAGTTGTCGTCTTCCAGATTCCTGCGGTCAAGGAAGACCCACACGCTTCTACGCACCCACTACAGCAAAACATCTCAAGGCTAGAAACAAAGCTGCTCGGTGCACCATTTCATGTTCAGTATTATTATGCAGGCCAGTCTTGAAACTATTGGACAACAGTTATTGACTGTCTGCCTAAACCTCTAAGCTAATAAATTTTCTCATCTTTCATACTGCGCTGCATTTGCCCTGTTTCAATTTTTCTAGTAGTGCAATCATGACCCCAGGTCGTACCAAATGCTCATGGGAATTTTAAAACATTATCAAACCCATCGCTGTGTATTTAACCGGTAAAATAAAGACTAGGCGTGATTGTGCATGGCAGCACACTGTTAAGGGAACACAGGTATATAGAATGGCACTGGGCAGAATACTC